CGTGGTGCGTGCGCGCTTCGTTCGCGCGCTGTACACGTGTGCACGTGTGTGCGCATGTCCCTTGTCCCCGTGGTGTACACGTGGACACGCGCGGTGGTACTGTAGAGCTCGACGCTCTACAGTAGCTGATCTAGTTCTTGATCTAATCTAATTTAAACCCCTGGGGGGGGTTATACTACACTTTTCTCTCTCTCAAGTGCTTGAAGTGCCTCATCCAGAACTCTGGATTTGTAGGCACGCTTACTCGCGCGAATTCGCTCCAACTTTTCGGTTTGTCTTGGCGCTTGTTGAAGGGGAGGGGTACTGTGTGATGTAGAAAAAACGTTTGGAGTTGCCGTATTGGATTCTGAGAATGTTTCCGACACAAAAACAACACTATCATCAGAACTACTGTTCCCAAAATTCTGAGACGATTCGTGATCGCCTGACTGCCTCAAATCCGCTTCGTCCCTGGAAAAAAAACTATCGAAAATATCATCAACATCATTGCGGAATCGTTCAGGAGAAGAATAAGGAGATTAATTGACATGAAGATCTTCATCAATGAAACCTTTGAAGCAAACAGTATCTGGAATCAAACATTTCCAGCAATTTAGACGACTCTTAGCGTACTCTTTGGCTATCTCATAGCACTTAGAAATGTTTTGCGTGCAACGGGTCGCGCTTTGGACATTGACTGCCCCTCCTTTGTCTGGATGAGCCTGCAGGCATAATCGTAGATAGGCTTCTCGAATGTTTGAGAGAGCGATACTTTTCTCTCTGCTGTCCGGGAAAAACACTCTCAAGACAGAAGTATTTTCGGCGATCGCATCGATTCTCTGAAGCTGTTCATTGTCACCTATACCCATTCTCAACGGACTTGAAGATCGGTAGGGTACCCTTTTTGGTTTAGGGTTTGGCGGTTTGGGGGGGATGCCAAGACTGGTAGGATAATAAGAGGGTGGTGACGAGATGAGTGGTGGAAACGCATATATGTGACAGATATGGTAGGATTTTTACGGGAAAAACCTACTGATCCTGTCACTTTTTTGTTTCGCTTATTGAGTTGTAACTTTTCACGAAAATCACCTACCAAAGGTGTCAAAAAAGATCTTCTCCTACTGAATGATTACCTTTTACCCATTTCTCGTACTGATCTTGAAATCTCCCCTAAAATTATACGATTCCTGCCTTTATTGTGTATTCTGTGAAAATACCACAGTCACACTCGCTCAAGACGCCACCTTCAGCGTCTGGGCCCAAAGGCGCACAACGTTTAGTGGCAGATAGCACATCTGTCATCCCCTTACAACACATGTAGTGCAGAATAAATAGGACCAGAGACTCTTTGGTCTCCCGCTCTAACATACACCATTGTGACTGCGTCAAGTGTAGACATGTAAGTTATTCTTTGCGTGTTGGATGCAAGAGCCTCACCGCGACTCCACAACTGGTTCTCAGCCAATTACAACACTGCGGAGTTCCGGCTGAGAGCCTCTGCATGGGATCTGACAACTACTAGGGGGCATTAAAGTCACCACAAATTATCTACATCGTCGTACAAAAGTGGTCCAATTTTGGACCCATCCTCTTTATAACTTCATAGCCGTTTTCAGCTCACCGATGATGATTTTATGGACGACCCTTGTACCTGTTGCTGATCTTCGCCTTCCAGGTCTGTGCTGCACCTTACTCAGCAACAACAAAGCAGTAGAGGTTACTTTCATGAAAGTCTTGTGCTTTTTGAGCTGTCTCGCAGCAGCGATGTCGTTCTTCTTCTGGTCTCGCAACCTGGCTGCACGAGCTCGATGTGCGAAATTTGGCCGCCTTTTGCTTTTATCAATCCGCTTTCTACTCAATCTTTTGAAGTGCTTTTCCACGGCGGTATTTGATCAGCTGACTAACCGTCCATCACGTTGCGGCGCTCTGCACCCTACCGCGATCCGTTGAGTCCCACATGCAGCGGCCGTGATGAATTCAGGCTTTCCAACCTCGGACAATATTTTGCTTGCTGTTCTGCCATCTGCCGATCGTTCTGCAATTTTCTGTAGCGCCTGTACTTTGTCTCGCTCTTGGTCCAGTATGCAGATCAAGTCTGCATATGTCTCTGTATCTGTTTCTGGCTTTTAACGCTGGCGATGCAAAAAGAAGGACCACATTGGTTTAATACCACGCTTGACGTTCCGGGCTTTTTCTTTGTTGCTGTGACTTTAATCCTTGAATTGATCTGGAAACGCTGCATTGAATGGAACTATTCCCGTCTCACAGAATGACTTGCCAATGCCATGGATGTTAGTTTTTCCATGCCTGACAACTGCGCACATCGGTTTTAATTGCACAGTCTTTGTATCGCATATCATGTGTAAACAGAGTTGGCCTCTTGAAGTGTGTATGGCTTTCTTGAAATGTTTCAATGGCTTGATCGCACGAATGGAGAAAATGGGACGTATTGGCAGGAGCCTGTAAAACTTCGATATTGTACTTCTCGCATAATTCCTACCACATAAACCCCACGACAGCTATATCCATCAAGTTTTATAATAATAGTTACCTGTGGAACAATAGTTCTGACAAATCTATTGAAATGCTCCATGAAACTATGTATTTTCTGTTGCTCCCTTGACCCATTTTCATTGCACAGTACTACCCCATCTCGCGGAAACCACTCTTCTTTTGTAAAGAACGTGAGATCTTTAGACGCCTGGGCGGCTAGAGCTTAACGTGAGGGATTAGAACGTAGAATTTCTCAACACAACGATGTCCGGCTCCTCATCTTCCGAGGTCCGGCGTGCTCCTGCACTTTATTCTCTTTCTATTTTACTTCCTTTCCATGATATTTCGTGTCAGCCTCTCCGGTCTACAGTTGCTCATGAATGCAGGCTGTCGGTCATCTGTCTCCCCCCTTCTCCATGCGTGCTGTTCTGTCCAGGTGTACACGAGTGACAGCAATTCTCCTCCAACATTGTGGCAGAGCTGGAGCTGACATAATTCTACATCGCCCCATGGCTTTACGCAGCGAAGAAATCATTTGGGCAGCTCTAGTTCTGCCTTTGTCTCTCTGGCGACTTTGTGGCGTCCAGGAACTCCCTTACTATATCCGATACGTCCTCAAACAGTTCCTTTAGGCCTAAAGGAACTGTTTTCATAATTATGAAACCTCTCGTGACTACAATGGGCATGCAGGAAGGCAGCCGAAAGGAGATGGAAATGTTGAAAGCGCTCAGAGAAATTCTTGCTTAGACAGGATGCTGCATATGCCCGGCCGTTTGGTTCCTCCGTTTTTGTGAAGGACAGTGGCAGACGATGTGTCATCAGACACATGCATTACGTCGGGCTGGTAGAAAGCAAGTCGACTTCAATTATCGCTGACAGCCCTGATGCTGTGATAGCTGTAACTAACGAAGACGATACAATTGTGGTCATGCCGGTCGAGATCAAAACAATGACTTCCGTCTCAACTGTTGGGGCTGCGACGGATTTGAAGGAGAAATACGGGGCCTTTGTATGCATCGAAAATGTAGGAGTCGATGAAAGAAGCAACGAACTATTCCAAGAAATGGTACCTACGACGCAGTACCGAGCGCAAGTGCTGCACCACGCTGCACCCCTCGGAGTTAATCACGTCATGTTTGTTGTCGGCACGGGTGGTTCTATGACCGAGGGGCGGATTGTATATGTCTGTAATATACAATTTTCTGAGCAGTTTCGGCATAATTACACTTATGCTTTGGACTGTGTACGAAGAGCTGCGTTTGAGTGGATAGGAGGGGAGGCCACATACATACCGAAAGAGTTCGACATTCATCTCAAGAATACTCATGCATCAGACATTCACAGCTTCATGTCTTATTATAACTTGAGCCAAGCTCTACGGAAATCTGTCATAGAAAGAGGGTCACCAATACCGCCTAGAACAGCAGTCGGTTCTAAAAAGGATTTTTCCAGAGTAAAAAGATTAACAATTTTCCCAAAAATAGGCTAAATTCTTACTGTGGTCATCCGCGCATACCGTCTATTTACGGCGCGACGAACAGAACCGCAAGGCGCCTAGTGCTCCTCTTCCTATTACCGTACTACCGAGACGGACCGTCTCCTTTTCCTCTCGATCCTCCCTCCGCCGTTGCCACAAACCCTCGAAATGGCCTCCCTTCCTGTCCTCGTCCCGACCGCGCGGCCCCTTCGGCGCCGCGCCATCTGCCACACAAGCACGTCCTCCCACAACGGAAGAGATAGGTCATGCGCAGTTGTTCAGTAGTCTTGACAGTTTTCACTACATGCGCTTCTGCGTGCCGCTTTACATCAATATTGTTATGTGTGGCAATCATTGCCACACATAACTTGGCATTATGCCAAGTTGCGGTGGGTTTCTGCCATGGCAGAGCTGGAGAAGGTTCTTCTTGGGATATATACAGCCGTCCCTCTTTTTGTGTTGCTCACCGGTCCTTAATATTGTAAGACTAGCGATCCCTTCAGTCGCAGTGTAGACACACTTTGTGGACTTCATCGGGAATTGTTAGATGAACCAAGCAGAAGAGATCCGTCCGAAAAAACTTCAACGCCTCTGAGTATTGCTCTCCAAGACACTGAATAATTGCGTCCAACCCAGATCAATTCATCCGCCCATTGCGCAAATGATAGCCATGTTCACATTGTCAGACATCGTTCCCCTGTGTCCGTGTGTCTACGCAAATACATTGCAAGCATAATAAATAGATCACCATCTTCATTAAGGACCGTGTACTGTAGTCACCCAGTTTAGGGTCTGCGATATTGCATCAGCACCGCGCACTCGAGTGTGTGCAACGGCAAATCCAATTCGGACCACGTCTCCAAACTCCTCGTCACGTACAAGCTAAGCCCGACTGTCGTGGGATAATAATCACCTGCTTTCCCATAGTTATTGATATCTTTCCCCATCATACTACGCACATCGGCAGCATCATGCTGTACTGACCACAGCAATTATCCACTTAGAGCGTGCACATTCATTTCAATTTCCATCAACCTTCCCGCCTTCACGACTAGTTTCCGCCGAACGCAAATCCAAACCCAACGATGCATTCCCGGACTGCATGAAGCAGTTTGAAACTGTATAGAAGCGCAGAGATTTTGTCGGAGAATTTCTCCGACAAAATCTCTGCGCTTCTATACTCTGGCAAATCCATTGGATTGAAGCAAGTTTGAGCCAAGGGAAGGCGCACTGTGTTCCCGGAGACATAATGAATCTGGAATTTTTGCACCCCATTCATACCCGGAAGCGTCTCAAAGCCCTCCAAGGGCACTTTGCTGTTTCCTGTCACAAACATCACGAGACGCGCCAGGTCTTCTTGATCCATGTTATGATTACATCTCCAGAACCATGTGATCGGCGGTGATGCGGCAGTGTAGCCTGTATATTCTACATTCGCTTTCAAGTCAGCCATGTCAATGTCTGGCAACCCTGACATGAGTAGTTCTAGCTCGAGCTCGTTATAGATCCTAATGTCGTCGTAGGGAATGAGCTCGTAGAATCCCTTTTTGAAAGCTTCAATCTGCTTCTCGATCGCCTTCGTCATACGCACTTCCGTCACCAACCGTACATATACACTATTATCCTCTGTAACTGCAATTTCCCTTCCACTTAGCACCAGATCGACAACTGATTGCTTTCCAAAATCATCATATAAGTGAAATGTGCGTGGAATTGGCGTAGCTGAAATAAAGAGCGCATCAATACCGCGGTATCGGGCCCGAGTCTTCTCCTTTCGATTAAATCCCAATCTATGTTCCTCTTCAACGATCAGCAAGCCCAGGTCTGGAAAATACATTTGTCGTTGAGTAACATCTCAGTGCCTATGGCGACGCGCACCTCTCCAGAGCATAATCTATCTCTGTTCTCAATGTTTATCTTCCGTGAAGTAAATCTGGTCATGCGGGCCATTGCGACTTTGAGGGAGGCCCCTTCAAATCTGCTTCGAAAAGTATCGTAGTGTTGCTGCGCCAGAATTGTAGTGGGGGCAAGGATTGCGACATGCTTCCCAGCTGCCCAGACCCGGAGCCTCGCTCGAACTGCAACTTCGGCTTTTCCAAACCCCACATCACTGCAAAGCAATCGGTCCATTGGGCGTCGATTCTTACTCATGTCTCTCATGAGCTGTTTTTTGTGACCTCCTGGTCCTCGGCGACGACATCGGCTAGGTTGTTGCTGGTGAGCGTGACGACATCCGACTCGTCGGCGGCGACGAGAGATGCGACGAGAGAACCGGTCAACTAGGGAGGAATGTTTCGAGGGCACGTTTGGTGATCCGTTTATCGCCGAAGAGACGACTGGGTACGAATTTCCCAATCCCTACGTCCAAAAACCTTTCCCCGTATATTTGTTTATTTTTTTTGAGCGCATGCGGTGCCGTGTAATGAGCAAACAGGCCTTCAGGATCGCCCATAGTTTGTTAGAAGTGGGCGACATATGCTTTAGGCGCGAGCAGGGCTGTATCTGTACGCGCAGCTGCACATACTCCCACACCGAGAAAGAGGGAGAACACGCAGATTCAACCTTTGGAATTCAAAATCTCAATCTGGACTTGAGCTCGAAACCCTTTTCTAAGCACCCCGGCTGAACGGGGCACCCCAATGAACAGAAATAGATCTTACAAGAGAACTTCTTCGGATCTCCCCGAGAAGCGGACATCTTGGACTTCACAGAAGCTTTAATGTCCATAGACCACTGGTCGTTCTGTCGAATGATCTTCAAACACTACTGAGCTTTGATAGCATTTGTTCAAAGGCTATCTCCCGTAAAAAGAATTTTTCGTGGTAGATCTAGGACCAAAAAGACGGCCATTTCGAAGAAATAGACTCATTTCTCCAACGAAAAGCACTTCTCCGAGCAAACTGCAACCATTTCTCGTGACTCGACGTTTACGTTTCTCACGACTTTGGCCCAGTCACATAGATCATGCATTCCTACGCCGCATGCTTTGCACGAAAACGAAGTTTCCAATCCCGGAAAGCGACAATGCTTCTCCCCAATCCCGCAGAACATTCCTTCTTTCTCGTTTTCTTTGTCCGTTTCCTTTATTCCTCCCCGACTACTTCGCTCCAGTTTTCTTCGCTTGAAGGCTTGCTCTTGAACGGATGCGACTAACCTCCTTTTCGCCGCTCTGAAAATTTCCGAGTCATGTTCTAGCGCAATTTATTGGACACCTAAGTCCAAACATGCCAAACCCATGGACATGGAGCCTGCTCTAGGATTATAACAGAGACCTGCAGGCTTGCACCACTGCTCGAGAATAGATACACTGAGATCTTTTTCCATGTCTCTAACTTTAAGGTTGTTGCCTTGTTCACAGCAGAGGGGATTTCGGGATTGTTGTACGTTTGTCACACAGTTCACCCATGACGGAAGGGTTGAGCTTCTATAACCTTTAGCATATGAGTAGTGATGCTTTCGCCTGCGATCGCGCGATCTCCAGAATACCGCTGCGATGAATCCTGACTCTTGAGGGTGCTGCGATAATGTCTTTTTCTTGATTGTTGACGGATCTTGTATGTAAAGCATGGGGTGCTTCATCATTTCCATGCCCTCCGCACATACAATTGAAAAAAGCTTCGAGAATTGAATAAAATTGCACAACATATAGCACACGCCGCTCTGTTTCATCGCCATACCGCAGTGACGTACAACCTGTTTCAGGCAGTCCTCATTGGATTCATCATCTTGTATAACAGTCATGACCATATCGGCTTTCCCTTGCACCATTTTCCACTCATCTTGTTGTGTCATGAAGTCTTCAGGTGTAGCCTGCACAATCTTCCACCCAACCGGTAATAATTGAGATGCCTCAATCAGTTGAGATGCCTCAATCAGTTGAGATGCCGCAATTAGTGACGCTGCCCCTGCAATTGATTCTACTGGTCTCTCATTGTTCTCTCTACAGTGCCCGTCTGCGTATTGAGTCTGCGATGAGGGGGATTCTTTGGCCGTAGAGCCCCTCTTCTTCACTGTCTTTCGAGCTTCCATTCTCTGAAATATCTGGAGATGATAGTTCAGTGTCTGAATCATTCGTAGGTTGTTTATGTAAACCCAGGTGCTCACTGTTCTCTTGAGAAATTTGTTGCATTTTTTTCGGGCGATTTCTAAATGGTTCGTCCCATTCGGCACCAGGTTTCTGCAAGCAGTTTCAAGTGGTGGTATGATGTCCTTGCTGAACGCATGTTCCTGCATTTGGATGTCCAGCAGCTGCGTACACGTCATTCTTTCTGCAATTGTGGTCATCTCATCAGGGATTTCGTCGTAGTCCCGAAGGGTTTTGAATTTTTCAAGTTCTTTAATTGCTCGGCGTAATTGCACCAACTGTGTTGAAACATCTTTGGGGAGAAGCGCCTTCGGAGAAGGCAAGCAATCTTGATAGTACCTGATAAATCGTTTCATCAACATCAAAAATTCCTCTGGCGTCACTCTTTTGGGAATTGCTCGCAAATTTGCCAATGTGAACGCAGCTTGCAAGCCTCTATCATCATTGCACATGAAATCCTGTAAGTAGTCAACCGTAGGAATGGGAAACTTGCGAGCAACCCCCAAGATTTGGCGCTTGGTTTCAGTCTGTTTGCTCATAATCGTGTCATCCTGAACCCCTCCTGCAGTACTTGACCCCAGGCGACGAGCAACTTCGGTCGCTGATAAACGTTTTTGTCGCATTTGGCTCAACCAGGAATTCAGCTCAACGTCGTATTCGTGGCAGCGTAGAAGTGTTGCGAGGAAAGAGAGCGGCACACGGACAGAGTGAAGAGCATTTCTGGAAAGTCCATACGCAATCTCATCTTGAGCTGGCATCGACATTACCAATTCACCTTTCAACTTGAAATCTTTTATCAAAACTCTGTCCTCCATTAGCTGTATCGCTACTCTTTGGCGGATGTGACCATCATAACAAAAGCGATACTCTCCAGCGAGTCCATCTGTCTCTTCTCTTATCACTGCTCGTGCCACTTCTGATGCCTTTTCAGGCGTGTAGAATGTGGCTCTCTCTCAAACAGTAGCTGTATTTCAGGAACAGTAGCCACTCGACATGATATGAGATAAGTGCTGATGTATCCATTTTGCAGAAAACCCTCTCTGACAATATCTTCATCTCGAGAACGAATTGGCCTGGAGTACCAGAGATTGACAATTTTCGCCGATCGACGTCTTCAGTCACAATATCACTCGTACTATCACTTCGTGAAACCTTCATGACTGCAGGACTTTCTGCCTCGCTTTAGTTTCAGGATTTGATTATCGTGAAAGCCAATGCCGCCAGTCATCTGACTTAAGCAAAGGCTTCGGGAAATTGTTGCGACTGTTGTTTTTTGCAGGCATAAAAACTATCATAAGCGAATGAGAGAATAAACACGGCTCATTCCGAAGATTTGAACATTGAGTTCAGACATTTGAACAAGTGGATCGAATGTGAGAGTTTCGGAAAGGGTTGGGGGGAGGCAGTTGATATAGATATCAGTTATCGTCCTGAACAAATTCCTGTCCGCTCTACCATGATTTCCGGTCTTTTGGCGACACATTTCCATAGGAATCGCAATATTAGCTTCGTAAAGGGAAAAATTCGTCACTTTCAAGGCATTTTCAGGCGTAAAAAAGGACATCGAAGAATTTCTTCGAAGTGTAACCTTCAGAAAAAAATGAAACACAACAGCAGAGGAATCTGATATAGATCCCTGACGTCTACTCTTTCGGAAACAAAACACAGTGAGCTAGGCTGCTGAATTTTTGCTTCCAGCCGAATACCAGTACAGGATAATATCCTGTACTGGTATTTGGCAAGAAAGTGCAGCCAAACGATTACATAATATGTAATCGTTTGGCTGCGCCTTCTTGATTCCACACCGCAGTGCGTGCTTGCGCACCGTCCATACTTGCAGGTTTGGCATCACTATCTGAAGCGTTGAACCCGAGAGACATGCACATAGAGCGATACTATGACGACGCTAGACGACATTCCTCCCCTATCGAAAGTCCCAATCGCGGTCAATCCCAAAACAATGAAGTCGCGATTACAGAACAGACGACGTCAATCTATCAAAAATATCAACAACTGGATGCCAAAACGCTGTTGCAAGCGTCTTTGTGTCTTCGAAGTCGGTACAGAAAAGTGTACGGCAATGCGAGAGAATTTCCTGTCAATTTCTCGTGATGAAAGAAAGGCACGCTTCGCCGATCTAATCGTTCCGGACCCACAGTGCTCACGGCGATACTTCTACTGTGATGGATGGCAGGTTTGTTGGAGAATGGTGATTGACACTCTAGAAGTGTCAAGGACCATGATTGCCAATGTCCTGGAGCTACCTTCAGCGAACGCTTCCCACCTTCCCGGGGGAATGGGGGGATCAGATGGGAGCTCAACTAAAAAATCCTCGGCGATTTCATTCTTGCGAGCCTTGTGTAGTGCAATAAGCGGCCGCACAAGGGGGTGAAAAGAAATGGAAATGATGGGGTGTGACAAGCAAAAGTGGAAATTATTTCACTTTATTATTTTAACTATTAATTTTAACTAGTTGTATATTTAATTATTTAACATTAGATTAGATCTAGGATCTAGCTCCGAGAGCTACTGTAGCGGCTCCGGCGGGGCGATATATACCTTAGCCCTCTGACCACCAAGTCAGTAAAGGTAACCCGAGTTGCCAGCGTCTGATATCGCCTTGGTTGAAGTCCGTCTTTCACAAGACATTCTCTTTAACTACAGATTACTTTATTCTTTGCGCTCGGGGGTCCCCTTTTTCCTTATCAATTTTCCTGTATTTCCCTATCCTAATTTCGCTTAATCTTGAGTTG